GGGGGGGTTGTGCTCTCTTCTACTTGCAAGCATTGCCCTGCACAAGGGAGGAAGGCTTTAGGATCTGGTAGTGAAGTCCTGTGTGGAGCAATGGCCTGATCCTGCTAACCCAACAGATGAGACACCCCCACAGAGAGACTAGGAAAAGAGAGGTAATCGACTGTAGTTGCTTGGACTGCTGGATTGTGTTCACAGGCAAGGGGGAAGGGACCCTGAAAAAGTGTTGATCACTGATGCTGTGGCCTGAAAGCTCCAAGGTCTGAGCACAGTTAACTACCACCCATCTGGTATCATCTGATAAGCTGGTGGGACGTCAAGGAGTCACTTACGTGTATTGTACTGGAGGGAGCATGCCAGAAGACAGACATTAGACATAGACAGAGATTAGCCAAGGATAATGTTGGGGGTCCCATAGTATGATTGACTTTGGAAAAAGTTTTCAAAGGGGTTGGAAAGTATATGCTAAGACTGTTGCAGTGTTGATCCTGATAATTTTGTCTGCTGGGGAAGGGGTGGGTTTGTGATGTGTGTTACGTTCACACTGATGAGATGTTAACTACACTAGTCTGGTCTGCAGGGACAAGGGATGGAGTTTATAATGGATATATATTAAGATTTAGATGATGTTAGAGTTTATATAAGGGTGAAACAATTCTTAATATATTTTTCAATGAGGTGAGGAGTGGAATGTAAAGGGCATAAATTGCAGGGCATATCAGGGTATGGCAGTGGTGACCTGTGTAGAGACCGTGCTCGGTGCCAGCCAGAACCAATTCCAGCTACCCCCAAAACTGATGCAAACACCCTATCTCACGCCAAAATTTGAGCCCACCATGCCCTAGCTCAGACACACTGTTGGAAACAGGTGCACTCTTTGAAGGAGGTCCATGCTGAAAGGGACTGCAGCTGGTGGATGAGCCATGCTGGAGCAAGCAAACACCTGAAGGCACTGCGGCCACTTGGGTGACCCATACTGTAGAAGGTACACCACTGAAAAGACAGTGGTCTAAACCTTTGGCTCTCCCTGCATCATAGCAAATACTGTACCTTTATTGTTCAATAAGAATGTGTGTTTGGTCTCAGCAGAGCTCTTACCTCAGCCTGGGGATTGCCGAGGGCTTTATGCGTTGCTTCCTTCAGGAAGCTGTGAAACAAATGTCCTTGGATTACATGTTCATTAATTGAAAGTGGAAGTTTTGGAAAGAAGGTCCTAAGGTGCCCCTTTTCTTGAACAAAAAGGTTTTACCATTTTCCCATGAAACCCAATGTGCAGCTTCATGATTATGCATTTGGTTGCCTGCCCAGTAGGAGGAAACAGAAAGGTGACAGAGACACAAAAGCAAATAACTCCTCATCTCGCCTGATGTTGATAAAGGAACCTTGATTGTTTTGATGGCTTGAGTTTAAGTATCAGGTGAGAAGGAAGTTTGGGGATCGATTCCTTGAGACCTAGCCTTGCACATCTTCCCTGTGCCAGGTATGCTCCAGAGTGGGTGTCCGTGCATGTAAGGGTGTATGGGGAGCTCAGTTGCCTGACTCTGCTGTCACTGGGTTGCTGGGAATTTTGTGTCTGCACAGTGGCCTCTGGGGCCAAGATCTGCTGGAGGTGGAGAGGCCAAAGGGGTTGGTGGGCTCAGGTCCTGCTGCTCCCCTGTGGGGGTGAGCAAGCCCCCACTGCTGCAGTGCTGTGGGAGGGCTTGGGGTGGTGGGAGGTGGTGGCTGGGTTGAAGGGGGCTGCTGGAGGAGATGGTTGGAGCAGGATAGGCCATCATCCATGAGCGTCTGCCCTGGGCTGGGTGGCCTGGGCTCAGAGCATTTGGTGCTGCCTGGGGAATTGGTCCCCAAAGCTGGCAGGGCCGGTAGGAAGGCCAGTGGTTTGGGCACAGCACCGAGGGCCTGAGTGGGGAGCAGACACCCGGCTTGTGTGGCGTGTGAAATGGTCCCCGGCACTGCTGGGGGCTGTGGCCGGAGCTCAGGGGCTGGTGGCAGGCAGGGGCTGTGCAATGCGGGTCTCCTCTGAGGGCTGGCTGCCCTCTGGTGCCCGCAGGGGAAAGCGCCGAGTGGCTTTGTTGTGTCCCCGAAGTGCAGGTGACTGCAGCTGACCTGCGTGTGTTTCACCTTTGCTCACAGGAGAGAGGGCGCGTGAGGTCTAGAGAGCCTGAAGAGCAAGTTGGGTCTGAACCAAGGGCAGCTCCCACCACGGGTGTAATGGATGGTGCTGAATGCTGCTGCCCTTGTTCAGCCCAAATCTTCCTTGGCTGTGATTGGATCTTAGAGGTTGGCCCTGAGGTCAGTACCTAAAGTTAGAGGAGATGATTCCCCAGCAGAGAGACTTCAGCAGCTGCCTGTGACTTAGAAGCAAAGACCAAGTACCGCTGTGCAGAGTGGGTCTGAAATACAAAGCGCATCTTAAAAACAGAACAGCAAGGAAATTCTCATTTCTTTCATTCAGCTGCGATAGGCTAACGTCTATTAGTTCTGTACAGAAGTACTAAAAATACTTGCACTGCATCCCTCTGCCACATTTTGTTCCTGGCCCAGGAGGTTGTATATTATCTTCTTTTGGAAGTTTTAGTTTGGAAAAAAAAAAAAAAAGTTTTATCTGCAACAGGCAGAATATTGTCCATTTGTACACTGGGAACACACCAGTCACTTTTTCAGTGTCTCAGGCTTTCAAGCATTCTAGGCAATGTTTAGATGCCAAATGTCTGTGTACATAGTGTTCATAACTATAAGGGTTTGGAAAACCCAAATACTGAATGCTACCATTTAACGTGTTCATTATATACACTCTCCAGTTTCTGACAGAGCTGAAAATAGTTGCCATCTCCTCTTTTGTCAATTCAAAGTCAAACAACTAACAAGAGAAACAGCTGGAAATCACCTCTCTGAACAATCAGAGATTGTAAGCAAAAAATCCTCTTGCCTAAGGAGGACTTGGGAAGGGTGAGAAAGGATCAATGCTTGCTCTGCAGGGGACAGCCATGCCATCCCTGCAGGGCAGCACCCAGGTCACTCATAATCACTCACCTTGATGTTCTCCACAATGTGCTGTGGTTTGACAGGCTTGGGAATCGCAGTCACATTTCTCTGGATCTGGAAGTGAAGGAGAACCGATAAGAACAGAAAACTGAATAATTCCTCCTGTTCTGGAGGAAGCAGAGCCTGTTCCAACATCTGTTTTCCCTAAGCTACACCAGCTTCTACAGAGCTGCATTTCAAATAATTCCTATTCCTGCGGCCCATGTAGCACTTCCTGAAGAGCAGAGAGAGAAGTGCTGGAGCCTCACGTGGAAGACCTTTCCCATCCAGTTTTCGGATAATCAAGTCTTTTCCTTCCCACCTGGATTTTTATCAAGGTTTCATTCTCTGCAATAGGACTTGAGATGGGAAGACTAAAACATGACAGCATCTGAAGATGGGTCAAGAAAATGTTTCTTATTGACGGTCAAAGAGCCCTTACAAGCACACATTGAAGGCCACATAGTAAGCAAACCTGTGTTGCTACTTAACATCACAGAAGAGCACCACAGTTGACAGGGAATGAAGAGCCAGCCTGTCCTTTGCATTGTCATAGCTGTCCGGTGTTACAGGAGGGGGTACCCACTGTCTGGCACCTACGTACCTGTGCTGATGTTTTGTTGTGCTTGGCTGCAATCTCTTTGATCTTGGGGTTATCCAGAAGGGAAGGATCCTCTGGCTTAGCCCTACACAGAGGAAAGGTAGCAACAGAAATCTGTATTTCGATGAATGATTAATGGTGCACTTACTGTCTCAGTGCTTCAAGCATAATCTATGCCAGCTACCTCACAAATTACCATGGTCTGTCAGGAGAGCCAAGGGGACAGTACGCAGGTTTAGCAGAAGTCATGTGGAGACTTGTCCTGACAAAGATTGTCTCCCTCTAGAGAAGTCACGCTATTTTGAAATGTAAGAGTGATCACTCGCACTGTTAGTAGGCTGTCCCCTTTTTGTGATGACTGCTACATTTTTTTATGCAATATGCACTTCACCCCTTTTTTTTTTTTTTTTTTTTTTGCAACTTACTTAACAAGTTGAGCCATGCCTGTGATTTGCTTTTTCAGGGCAGCCTGAAGACCAGCTGAAGTACCAGCTTGCCTCTGCTCTGCATTTCCTGGATGCTTAAGCTAGTGGTAGTATGCTGACAGTTTATGAATATCAGCAGTTTTGTGCTTTGACTCCAGATGTTATAGGTCTTGGGGGTTTTATTGGTGGGAATTGTCCCAGGAAGGGTTTATGTCCATTAAGTGCAGGTGACTGCAGCTGACTTCACCGCTGTTTGCAGGAGAGGGAGAGAGACTGTGTTAGGTCTGGAGAGCCTGAAGGGCAAGATGGGCCAGAGCCAAGAGCAGCCCTGGCCCTGGACATAACGAATCACACTGAACGCTACTGCCTTGTTTTGCTCAAAAATCTCTTGGGCTGTGACTGGAGCTTAGAGGTTGGCCCTGAGGTGGCTGCTTGCATCTACACTGTGGACACCTGAAGTTACGCGAGATGAATTCCCCCTGAAAGACTGCTGCATGTGACGTGGGAGTAAAGGACAAGTATGGACGGTGCAGAGTGTCTCAAATGTAGAAATGTGTTTAAAAAAAAACAACCCCAAAACAACCCACCAACACACCAAAAAACAAAGGGGCAAGCATTGCCCCTTGTAAATTCTGCTCATTTTGTTTGCCAATGAAAAGTAATATTTAGCATTAGGATTTGTACTCCAATCTCTCTTCCATATTTTTTGCCTCATCTTGAGGTTGAATCTTACATTCTTTTGGAAGTTTTGGGTGGAAATCATTGGATGACCTCCATCTGAAAAGCATATTGGATATACTCCAAGGACTTATATATACATATTTTAGACTATCTTATGCAATCTCAATATATCAGTGTACTGAGCAGACTATTTGCATGTTGTGTTTGTTTCCTGTTGGAATGAGAGTAAGTACCAACAATACCTAAAGCTGTAATGTATCTGAGGTCTATTGTCCTCTCTCTCTTATAACCATAACACTCAAGCCAAAAGTCTAAGTTTTGTTCACACCTCATTTGAAAACAAAAGCTTTGTTATTTTTAATCACATGAAAAGGATAAGTTCTTTTTGCATTTGTCATTGGGTAGGGAGGACCAGGCAACATGACACTGCTAAGCTGAATTCACCAAGTAGGCTGATGGTGGAATAGCCTGTCAGGGAGTGTTACATATGAACAGAAGGAGTCTGGGTACATTTGAGCTATGGCTGTGAAAGCTGCAGGAGAACAATAGCTGGAAGAATTCACAAGGTGTAATATTCTGTGTCCCCCACCTACCACTCCAGTGAGTCAGCGTGGTCTCACCTGGGAGAAATACAACACTTGACTCAGACCTCTAGGCAGCAGCTCAGCACTAACACATAAATTACACCCTCTGTCCTCATCATTCCAGATATCTGTGTAGTAATGTTTCCCCATAGTCTCCTTTATTGTGGGTTTTTAAAGCTAGATGATGTTAGATCAGTCCACACTATCACCATATAGCTTTCCAGCACTTCCAAGTATTGTTCTCTTGTCCCTTTCACAGCCATAGCTCACATGTACCGAGACTCCTCACACAATTCTTGTTTGCAAAGGCTGGTCAGCCATGGTTCATTATATCCAGTTATTCTACTCTGATCAAAGGAATATCTTAGTGTTCCTGTGACACTCCGCCTCTCAGCCTTTGTCATCTGTCAAACATCTTTCATACATGCACACATACTTACAAGCTAATGACATACAATGCAAACAGCTCAAGCTTGTGTAAGTATTCATTTATTGCACACTAAATTATTATAGAAGTTACTATGGCACAAGCAGTAAGTCAGTCATCATTGGGTCCTAATACTAACAACCATTACAAAAGCAGATTTTCGTTAATCATCTTTTTCTCAAGAAGTTTCCAGACCACCCAGTCACTCAAGATATAACTCAAAGTTACATGTGCTTCTGTCAGACCCTACAGCTCCATCTGGTGTGGATGTTATAGATCAGAACACAGTAGTTGTACTGCTGTGCCCTGCATCCACCAGCTCAAGGCACTTTGCACTTACACATCCTTGAAGTGCCGTGCTGTTGAAACAGTTAAGTGTGCCAGTGAGTCAGCACAGCACAGCCTGGAGGGAATGTAACACTTGCTCCAGTGTCAGGCTCCAGGCAGCTCCACCTTGCACCCTCTGCTTCTATACAGTAACAGATACCTGCTTAAGACTGTCTCCCATCTCCCCTCTCCCCCCAGCTTCTGTCACTCTGGGTTTTTAGAGCCAGGTGTCAGCACAGGCTACCAATGAAATCAGTCCACAGTGATACCACTATACAGCTTTCCAGCAGTTTCAGGTGTTGGTCTTCTGTTGCTTGTCAACCTACAGTCCATAGTAAGGCTTGTCATACTCTAGTGTTCTTGTCAGCATTGGTCTGCCAACCAAAGCTTATTATACCAAGTTACTCAGCCTCTGATCAAGGCTTCAGCTTCTGATCTTGATGCTCCTGTGACATCACTTAAAGTTAAATACAGATGATGGTTTCTATAACATTGTTGATGCAAGTGGCTTGGTTTGTCAGTTTTTCACATTAGACTAGAACTTCCAAATCAGCAGTAATCTAAGCAGTTTTTATTTTGGGTAAGAATAAAATTGAACACTAATCTCTGTCCAGTTTCAGCCTGTAAAAGAATGCAACTGAAATAAGGCCCCATATGAGCTGGTATGCATCTGTGGGGCTGGACTTTTCTCCCATTTATTCTTCTTTCCCAGAAAGCTTTGGGCTGTGCCCTAGAAGTGAAGTTAATTTTTATCTCTTGTCTTTGGGCAGTGATTACATAGTTAATTCTTTCAGAATGGATCTTCCCTGTTCACATTCCTGCAGCCTTAAGTAGTGTTGATGCAAGATAGAAGATGAAAAAAATCAGTTGCTAGTTCATTCTTTGCATTTTCTGCTTTGCCATTTCAGCCATGCAGAGACACTCATCTAATGAGTAGAGAATGATTATAGCCCATATTTTGTTCTTTAGAACAATTTCACTATTTCCTTCCACCAAAGAAGAAAAACCTGAACAAAGTCACTGAATACATATACTGCCTTTGCTGGCGGGAGAGATACAGTGTGCAAGCTATGTAGTGGACAACTCCAGGCAGCAGTAGAAGCTCATTAGACCCCAGAGGCCTGCAGGAGGGCAGGATAAAACCCATCTTCAGTATTCTGCATTGAAAGGGTACTCCTTGTGATTTTTGCACCTGGAGGAAATCAAAGAGGAAGATTACTCTCAAGGCTGAAGAAATGCTATATAGAACTACACTGGGTGTACAGAAGAGCCTTCAAGGGAGACTCTGAATTCTCTAACTGCAAAATGAATTTAAGAGGCTTATTAGCATAGAGATGGCATACATGACCAACAAGTTCAAGTCTTTTCCTATTCTTCAGGCACTGAATAGTGGTGGGACCAAGTTACTTTCTAGATCAAGAGTTCATACTGCTTAGAGAGGAAATAGCAGTTTCTGTGGCCTTTCAGCCAGGACTTCTTGTCTTGCTATAGGCTTCCAAGGTGCACATCTGTGAGCAGTTGTTCTTCATACTGCACTTAAGGTGGTCATTCCCCCCCCAGCCACCTATGTAAGAGCTGACAGTTTATAACTCACAGAAAATTACCGTCATTTTAAAACTGCCTAATGCTCATTTTTCCAAATCAGACATAGCCGAAGTTATCAACTAGAACCCTCCTGTTGGAATTCTAGGCACAAAGTTTTCTGGTGAAAGGATTCACAATGAGTAAAGAGTGTAGTATGACTTACTCATCCTTTAGTCAATAAAGTGAAAATATAACTCCACTAAGACATTAAATTTTGTATGTTTTGAAATCTGAAATCATTTGGGGGATGAAGCATCTGTTATTTAAACTGCTATACCAGTACCTGTGAGATCAGGATAAAGATTATTGAAAATGTAATAGTTTGAAGGAAACAGGCAGTGTCACTTACATGACCATTGCACAGATTCTCCAGTTTCTGTTTAAGCTGAGAAGGGTTGCCATCTCCTCTTTAGTCAATTCAAAGTCAAACACCTAAAAGAGAAACAGCTGGAAATCACCTCTTTGAACAAATCAAATCAAAAGCAAGATTCACAAAGTTAAAGAAGTTCACATCAGAAAGGGTGCTGGTTAGACATGACTGCTTTGTGAGACAGGGAAAGTAGTATCTGTGGATTTTTGAGACTCTACCAGCAGAGGGAAGAAACAAACAAAGATAGCCAGTTGCAGTTACATGTGCCAGCTGTTCTAAGATATGTGACAAGCACTTAGTGTTGCAGAACCACTCTATTCATGGAAGATCCATTTCTCTCCAATTCCAAAGAAACATCTGGAAAGCTTTCATATTTCAATAAATCCAGCTATGCTACTTCTGAAATCTTGATGTCCAATATCAGGAAAAAACCTGACTTAACAGTCAGAGGAGCAATGTGGTTTATTGACACCAGGACTCTTCCCTTAACATTGCTTATTTTATATTTTGAGGACTGTTACTGTGCTCGGGCTCCAAGCCCTGCCTGCCACTTTATCTGCAAGTCACGGGAGACACTACGTAAGGTGACTGATAAGGTTATCAGCATACTGTTTCCAAAAGCTCTATCTTCTCCAGCTGTAGTTTTCATTGTAGCCCTAGCTTCCAGACAGAGAGAACAAGCCCAGTCCTCTTGCCTGAGGAGGTCTTGGGAAGGGTGAGAAAGGATCAATGCTTGCTCTGCAGGGGACAGCCATGCCATCCTTGCAGGGCAGCACCCCGGTCACTCGTAATCACTCACCTTGAAGTTCTCCACAATGCGCTGTGGTGTGACAGACTTGGGAATCGCAATCACATTTCTCTGGATCTGGAAGCGAAGGAGAACCTGCAGGAACAGACCCCTGAGTCAGAGAGAGGATGGCTCCTGCTCTGGAGGAAGCAGAGCCTGTTCCTATACCTGTTTGCCATCAAGTGTCTATTTCAGTAGAAGGAAACCCTTTCTGTGGAGCTACAATTCCCATAATTCCTGTCCCTGTGGCCTAGGTATCTCTTCCTGGAGGGCAAAGAGAGAGGTGATGGAGGCCCACATGGAAGGCCTCCTTTCCCATCCAGCTCTGGGACAGTCAATTGCTTTTCTTCCCACCTGGACTCTCAGCAGTCTGTGCAAGGCTTTCATTCTCTGCAAGAGGACTTGAGAGGGGAAGCGACATCTGAGGATGGGTCAAGAATCTTTTTCTGGCTGAGGGCCAAAGAGATAGTAGCATATAGTGTAAGCCACGTAATAAGCAACCTGCATTGCTTGTTAACACCAGAAAAGAGTGCCACAGTTTATAGGCAACACAGAAGGTGTACCAGCTCTTCTGATGTAATTTTCTTAATGGCTGTGTTACAGGAGCGGGATACCCACTATCTGGCACCTACCTGTGCTGGTGTTTTGTTGTGCTTGGCTGCAATCTCTTTGATCTTGGGGTCGTCCAGAAGGGAAGGATCCTCTGGCTTAGACCTACACAGAGACAAAAAGGAAGAAATGGCAAAGAATCACTCCAGAAAGATTCTACCTAGCATAAATAATTAAGAGATACACCTGCACCATTACTCATTCAATTAGTCTGAATGCTTCAAACTTAAACCACACTAACCCACTTGGAAATTACCTGTCAGGGCGTCCAAGGGGACAGTATGCTGTCACAGTGATCCCTTTGGATTGGCAGTAGTTGATCAGCTTCTCCTGAGTGAGGTATGGATGACACTCAATCTGTCAACACAGCAGTAGAGACTGATAGTTGTAAAACTACTGTAGTGTTCCCACGCTCCAGAGATTTTCCTCCAAATCCTGGTTACTGGCTGCCTTCATCCTACCCTGCATGTGGTCTGTGTGACAATACAAGACCATAATTCTATAGGGCACCAACTTTTATATCAGGTCCTTATGTGCTTCTAGGATTTTGTTCTGAGAAGCTTTGTAAAAGTCACTTATTAGAGTCAGAATGATAGTTTGCATCTGGATTCCTTATTCCTCCAGAGAGAATGCTTCATAGGGAAATAGCCCAACATTTGTAAACAGTGGTTCAACAAGGTGAGACAAAAAGGAAATACTCTGGTCCTTTTGGTACCAAAACACATCCACAGAGCATGATTCAGAGTACATGCTGCATCTATTTTGTTCTCCCTTTTCCATCTCCTCATTTAACTGTAATCAGATCTTTATAATCCCTGAAAACTATTCACCTGCTGTCCCTTAGCAGCTTACCTGGTTATTTGCAGGCTTGTGCTTCAGTCCTGGCTTCTTCAAGATTCTTTCAGTCTGCTCACGGTTAAAGTTGGAGATACCAATTGCTTTTACCAGACCAGCATCCACCAGCTCTTCCATGGCCTAACGCAAAGGGGAGCAAAGACAGCATCCAGCACATAAGGCATGACCTGAATATGTTCTTTCTGATTTGGCTTGTTTCCCTTTGTGGGAAGCACAAAACTGGACTTGCCAAGTTTTTGATTCTCAAGGGTAAAAGTGGGTACTGGTAGTACCTGTGCCATGTAGTCTATCACATGAAAGCCCAAAATCATTGCTGAGACTGAAATTCACTGAGTCACACAGGGAAAAGATGACTAAGCCTACTACTGTCACAGCCCTGGAGGGCTATGCCCTAGGAGGATGGCAGGATCACAACCTAACTGTCTATTGCTGCAAAATCTGTTTGAGCAGTTCAAAACATGCATGAGAACTGTGGTAAAAATAAAATCTACAGTTATGGTCAAGTAAATAACTTTCTAACCTCAGTCTGATCTGCAGCTCCACTGAAAGTGACTGGGCAGCTCAGTGATTTAAGACGCTAATCCACAGTGAACAGGAATAATAGCTTGACTAAACATGCACATTTTTGAATGCTACCACATACTTTTGCGAATTCTTTCCAGCTAATTATGCATGTGTGCATGAGCCATGCTGTGACTGCTGAAACTAACACCACTGCTGAGGACAGAAGATGTGATTCTTCCACTGTGGCTGAACTTACCTCCCATGTACGCAGAATATCTGTGTTGCTGGGTATAGACATGCCTTTGTCATCTGTGGGAAACAGCTCCTCCCCTGCCTGTCAGCAGCAAAGAATATGTTTGAAAATCTGTTGCGAAGCTTGCTTAATACCATGAGACCTTACAGCCATGACAGCTTAAACTTACAGTGCAGACAAGAACACTAGTTCTTGTCTATACTCAGTCATTTCTTCTGAGGAACAGGAGGAATTGGAGGCATTTTTGCCAGTAAGCATTCCCATAAAGACAATTTTTTTCTGCTGGACCCCTCAAAGTGATGACTTGCCCAAACACCTACAGGGAAGCAAACCACTCAGAACCGTAGCTTCCAGTCTCATACATGTTCACTTCATGTATTGGTCTTTTGTGCCCACTTAGAACATAGATGAAAATTTCTGTCATGCAGCAAAGTGCAACCCTCCTCCCTGCAAAGGGCAATTTTGAGATGAGCAGACGTTGATTCATAAGAGAAGGGGAGAGAGCAGCCTATATTGTGCTTGCAGTGGAGACCTGCTACTAGTTTTCAGACCATCAATCCTAGGATCAAAGGGGTATGCAAGCAACAGTCTCAAGGGCAGATATCAAGAGCCTGGCTCAGGTGGCCAAAGTACAGCTGAGCAGCAGAGCAGTACACAACAGGCATGTGACTGTCTCCATCAGACCAGTTGTTGGGTTGTAAAGCCATACAGACCCCCAAAAGCAGCATTCAAAAGAAACAAAGCCAAGGACACTGCTGCTACTGTACCTTCAAACCAAAAGGCCAGTGCATGAGGTAGAGATCCAGGTAATCCAGTTTCAGGTCAGCAAGAGTCTTCTGGCACGCTCCCTTCACCAGAGGTTTTTCATGAAAGGTGCACCATAGCTGGAAGAAAAAACCAAGGCACACTGTGACCTCTGGGGTTACAGCTCTCAGGTGCTCTCCTGCACAGGACAGGAATGCTCCATCTTCTTTGGAAGGCCATGTGGAATGCAGCGATCCTAGTGCTCCTCAGGTGGGGCTTGCTCTGTGAGCAGGATGGCCCGTGACACTGAAGGCAGGATGTGACGTGGCAGCACATGTATTTGAGTAGGATCATAGCAGATAAAGTCCTCTAGTTCCATTAGTTAAGATATCATTTGTGCTGCCTGCTTTTACACAGGGCCTGCCTTTGAAGAGGTGGCTTTTAAATGAAGCCATATATCTGTTGTTCCTGACCATGCCTAGAACTCCTGCATTGAATTTAGCAGGCAAAGCCAAGAATGTACCAAAAAGCCCCAAAGAAGTGGTTGGCACCAACCTTTACCAAGGTAAGAAGTAACTTCAGAACCCAGCTAAACACCCTGTTTTCCTTAGTAAGCAAGAGAAAAAGAACCACCAGCCACACCTTCCCTGGGACGTGTGCCGAGCAGATAATGCCATATCAAGGTGCCCAGAACCTCATCTTCCTCACACAGCAAGGACACCCCTCTGGCAGGGCCACAAGCCCAGCTGCTGGAACAAGCACCAGCCACTGCCAGTCTCATCTCCTGTGCTACGCTTTAGGAGTCAGTGAGGTGCCGTTACCAAGTTGGTCCTGCATCTGTATCAGTCCATGAAAGCAAGGGATCCCAGACCTCTGCGTTACAGGTTTCTCCCTTGCTTGGTGCTACCTGGCCCACTCTACCTTTTTCTGCTTCCCTTCTGCTGCACCAGCTGGTCTGCAGGTGGCCTCTCCTCATCCATCCCTCAGCACTTTTGGGTCTCCTTGGCAGACCACAGCAGAGCTGTGGTGCTCAAGTTCTCCGTCTATTCTGAGGGCAAATCACAGTCTTGTGTTCCTACAGTGTTGTCAGATTGACTGGAGAAGCAAGCTGCCACCAGACAGTTAGGGTAAGGGTGATTCTTCTCCCTGCTCAAAGCTCAGGGACCTCTCTCTTCCTATCCAATGGCTACAATAGTAAAAGTTACTATCAATGGACAGGAAACAAACTGTAACACTGTGCTCATGGGGTGAAAGAAGAAAATAGTATCAGGAGTGGTATCATTCACATTACAAGTTTCCCCAACACTGCAGCATAAAACTACTTTAGTTTCCTATTGTAAAAATACCACAGTCCACAATCCAAGACTTATCCATTCCTTACTTTACTGACGATGAAGAGCTCCTCTCGTTTCACAACGCCTTCCTTGATTTTCTGCTGAATCCCTTCTCCAATTTCCTTCTCATTCTGGTACACGTAGGCACAGTCAAAGTGGCGGTACCCAGCATCAATGGCAGCCATCACTGCACCTTCCACCTTACCTGGGGGGGACTGAAGGGAAAAGGGTATGGTACATCTTGATTTGGGATTCTCACTCACTGCTCCTTAGGCAGCTAGAAGGTAGACAGACACACAAGGGGGCTTTAAGCAGAGCCTTTCCCCAGGGCTGTCTTGGGTCCATACACATCTCGAGCACAGGCTCCTGAGCCTAAAGCCAGCCGTTCCTCTGCCACCCCACTCCCAGGCAGGGCTCAGCCCAACAGCTTGGCAGAGCAGAGGCCCCAACACCAGGGCCGTTCTCCAGGGCCGGCCCAAGGCCTCCTCCCTTCCCCGCAGCGCTCCTCAGAGGGGAAGCCCCCAGCAGCTGCCAGCCGGGGGGCTCAGCCCA